TTTAAAAACATTAAAAAAAAAAAATATATATATATATATATATATATATATATATATGAAATGTTATTTATATGGCACTTTTTAAGTCCAAAATGCTTCAAATGAAGGGCATAATATGAAAACATTTAAACAAAACAAATAAAAGATAAGTATAAAAACAGCTGCAACAAAACAGCAGCTAAATAAATAAATAAAGTGCAATTGACCAGTGCTATAAACAATATTTCAAAAACGGAGTAGATCAAGCGTTAACCTACAGGACAGACACACGAACAGAAACAATAATAAAAAATAAAAAAAAATGGAAAACATTTATAAATAGCTTAGTACAGGTCTAATTAATTTTCTTTAAAAAAAATATTCTTAAATTATTGCTGACTATTTTACTTGAATAATTACTTGGAATGTTTACTTGATTCATAAAAATTAAGGCACCAAGGCATTTTTATAAAAAAATAAAAAAATAAATAAAATAAACTGGGTTCCCGATCAAAATGTTTGAAAAGAACAACAAGAAGAATACATTTAATAATAACTTTATTTATAAAGCAACTATCAGACATAAAAGGCAGTTCAAAGTGCTTCAAATGTCATAATATAAACATTTATCACAACAAATAAAGATAAAAGCCTAGGGGGGTGAAACAGATGAAACAAAAGGAACGAGCAAAAGATAAAAGCAAAAATTATCAGCGCTATAAACAAAATCCCAAAACAAAGTAAAGTCAAGCCACAGGACAAGCACAGCCATGAGCAGAAACAAAAGAAAGTTAGAAAAACGATCATAAATGTTTCAGTCTAAAAGCTCAGGAACACATTTTTGGCTTACAAACACCCATTTCTAAAGTAGCCTGTGAGGTAAATTTCAAAACAACCTGGTTCAAAGTGAGAGATGGCGAGTCTAAATATATAATTCTAAAAATGATTCACTCCAGATTCACTTTCATCAACTTTCATCATCATTTTCAAGGACTGTATATAGTAGAAGGTAATACTTCAAATTAAATTTGATCAGAACATAAAAAAACCCACAATCTCGAAAAAAGCCTTCACACATCTGTGCGGCATATCACTGCATCCAAACCACAGGTTTATAGCTGCCAATCACTATCTGGAACGCTCCGTGAACGTTTCCACCAGCCCATTACAAGTGTTTATCTGGAGTCATGAGTTAACAAAGAGCCTCTTAGCGCCATTAAGGGTGTAATTTAGCTTTGGTGGATGATGCCAAGCTCAATGTGTTGACAGAAGGCTGATTCTTCTGCATCTGGCAGATGTACACCCAAGGGAAAAGATGCTGGACAGCCATCACGGGCTGATTCAATTGTGTTTTATTTATGGGATGCTTTTTGGCTCTTCTTTAGTACTTTATTGCCCAAATGGTGAACAAATTCTATTAGGCCAATTAAAACAGGGTTACAGAAGGAGGAACAGATTTCAAGCGCATGTTCAGCGTTGACTGAACTGAAATTACCCAGAGGTCATTAGGGGTGGCTCTTTTGACTTAGACCAGCAAACAACCACCCAATACACCCTAGCAACCAGCAAAAACACCATAGCAGCTTATAACAGCCCATTAAAACCCACACAGAACACATTAGCGGCTTGAGTTTTTACATGAACATGCAGTCACAGCTTTTCAGAAAATGCAAAACAAACAAAATTATGACATTTTAATAACTAATTTATTATAATTTAATACGTTTTTGTAGCATGTTCATTTATTGGGGGGGGGGGGGGAAAAAAAAAGAA